CTAAAATTACGCCAGCAGTTTTATCTTACAATATTTGTCCTATTAAATAATTCATTAGTTCTATGCAATTTAAACTTCCTATCGTCCAACAGCTGTTGCTAAGTCTGCGCAACAGGAAGCAGAAAAAATTTGTAGTCCAAGTATGGCTGATCAAGTAGCCAAGACAAAAGGCACACGGTGTCTTTTTTGTGCGCTTCTGTCATTCCTAATTTTTTTTCACCGTTTCTTATGACTTGCTTCTTATAAGACAGTGAATAGTGGACAGTTTCCTTACAGATGAAGAGAAGATTGGAAGAAACAGAAATGGGGTTCTACAGAAGGATGCTGAGAATGCCATGGACAGAGGGAGTAATCAACGAAGAAGTTTTCAAGAAAAGGAAAAACAAAAAGGATACTTATACGCGGAATTAGAAAGGGATAACTGATATTTATTGGATACATTATGGGGAAGGAAGACCTGGGAAATTTAACACTCACAGGACATATCAAAGTTAAAAGGGCAGTGGGAGTCAGGTGTTACCTACCTTGTCATCTTGTGTGATTGCATGGCGAATTGCGGGTCGGAGATTTGGCAAAAGGAAAGATATTGATACAAGCTATAAGGGATAGGAGGTTGTGGACAGCAATGATCGCTCATGTCCTGAAGAAGAAGAAGAAGAAGAAGAAGAAGAAGAAGAAGAAGAAGAAGAAGAAGAATTATGATGGGGCAAAAGGAGGCAGATTTTAGGGATTGCTCTTGTAAATTAGATAAAGGCGAACACATGCATAATTATAATGTTTAAAATTTGCTCTATATCGGAGACAGAGTGTTTGTAGATACCGTACAGCTTCCCGATGCCCGTCCGTTTCACGCACGTGCGTAGCTCCGACAGCCAGATAAATGTCTTACGGAGATCAAGGCTCAGAAGACAAAGTTCTGTTTATCAGCAAGTTTATTGAAAGCTGAAAATGTGAAACAAGAAAAAAGATATAAATACAAGCTTGAGACTAGTTTAATCAGAATAACAAAACACATAAAAGAAATAAATAGGAGTGAAAAGAAGAGAATGTTGACAAAGGAATTTGATATAACGTCTAATAAATTTAGCCGCCTCTGTTTAAGGAGGACCGACCTAAAAACATCATCAAAAATGCCACACATTGAAAGTACATCAAAATATTAATGTAGCAGCTAATGCAAGAGGCGACCAACATTGCCGCATCTGCGCAAAATAATGTATGACCCTAGCAGGACTAAAATTCCCCATCTGTGTTGACCATTTCTGAGAATCAAGCCGTGACATTACACGATGTCAAGTGACAGCCATCAATTGTATGGATATATGTATATGTATGTACGCACAAGGATGCATGCATGAAAATGAAAGAATAAATCCGTAGCCTGAAAAAGTTACTTGCTGTGTAATATTTGAGCTATGTGAGTGATGAAAAAGCGTTGGGTGAAATATATTGAATGGAAAGGAGATTATGTTGGAAATTAGATCTTTGTTGTGTAAAAAATGCTTTTTACACAACTTGACTAAGAACTTATTGATGCATGCCAATAGTTTCATATATATATATATATATATATATATATATATATATATATATATATCTTCAGACATGTATTGTTAACTATAACAGACAACGAATGTCTATTATATTTTATCAGGAGCTGTTCCAAGCTCCGTATGTTGACTTTAATTGCAAGAGAAGCGTATATCGATGAAAAACACAATAAAGAAATATCAAAACGTTGGACAGTTTTTGTTTTATTTTCTCCTGAAATTAAAGTCAACATACGAAGATTGGAACGGCTCCTGATAAAACATAATAGACATTCGTTGTCTGTTATAGTTAACAATACATGTCTGAATAATCATCTGCTGTCCCTATACAATATATATATATATATATATATATATATATATATATATATATATATATATATATGTGTGTGTGTGTGTGTGTGTGTGTGTGTGTGCAGTTCAATTTATATTTCAATGAATCATTCATACAAAAAGTAAATTCGTAAAGTTAATGGTATAAAATGGCGAAATCTCTTATCTAACAAAATTTTAAAAATTACTTCGCTCACTGGGGTAGACTGTTCTAGTTCCACGTGTCATGTTTAATGGATGTCAGTTATCAGTTATCTCTTGCTAATTTCCCTCTGAATGTTCTCCATTGCCTTAAAAGGGTATTGAACTCACACTCTTTGGGTCCTGTCACTGGATCTAACCAACGCGTTTATCCACTGTTCCATGTTTCCTTGAGGAACTTGTGTGCTGGAACATCGTTCTGATGAAACAAGACCTCTTTTGTCAGTTTTCCTGGGGGTTTAATCTTGATGGCCTTTCGTAACTGCCTCAGCAAGTTGGCATAGTACTCTCCATTCATGGTGTGGTTCTTTTGAAGATAGTCAATGTAAGCGTTCTGAAAGGAAAGGAAATGTTTGTCGCAGATTAATTCCACAACACAAAGAACAAATCACTGTAAGTTCAGACTCGAATATCAGGGACAGAAAGAGATGCCGAAAACTCGATTCGCAGGTACTATCTCACAAATCCCAATGCTCACACTCATGCAGTAGCCAAAATACATCAATTTCCCCCCACCCCGATTCGAGAACACCAACTGTTTTTATTGGCCGAGCATTTTTTTCATTCGTCGACAACTGGGAGAGGACGCCAAATTTTTTGCATATCAAAATATTTTTATAGAGACTCCTGCGACGGACTTGTTTTTAATCTAAATAACCCGTCTTCAGTATGTCCTGCGGAATACGTGCCCCTCCTTTTTTTTTGGTAAGTAATTTCCTTTTTCACCACATTTTCCGTCGTAGGATACACGCGACCCGCTGTCGCTTGGTTTGACGAGGTAAGTCGCCGTTTTCTTCTCTATAGTCAATTAATACAAGGCCTCTTGCATCCCCCACCCAAACTGAGGCCATCACCTTCCCTGCAGATGAAATGACCTTTGGCCTCTTTGGAGCAGGTGAGGAGATTTGTTTCCGCTATATGGATTGTCTCTGGCTAAAAGTAATGAACCTAACAATCCTGGGTTAGAAAACATTCAAGGAAACCAGCTGGATCTTCCTCAAACAATATCAAATTTTCCTTTGATGTGATCAGCCTGATGCACTTTTGATCATGTTCCAGAAGACGTGCCACCCACCGAGCAGAAACCTTTGTCATACCAAGTTCATTGTGCAAAATATTCTCAACTCTCTTACAGGATATGCTAACAGCATTGGCTTTTTTCATTTATAGTCATTTGCCTGTCATCCATCACCATGTGATGAACACAATAATTTCCTCGGGAATGGAAGTTGTAGGACATCCAGTCCTTAGATCATCTTCAAGCCTTTCCCCTACTCCATTCAGTTAGAGTCTCATGTCAGCATGAACGTCCTTGGGTCTAAACACTTTTTCTGCAAGTACTTGATACACCACGAGGACAAATTTTGTGCATTTCCAAGAGAAGTCACTATTAGTTACTTTTGAAGTCTTCTTTGAACAATCAGATGTCAGTTTACCTGGAAAGATACAATGCAGTCAATAACGATAAGAGCTGAAATTAATGCAAGATTTCACAGCTCTAGTGTCACTCTTTCATGGTTAGCCTATGAACTTTTCAGCACCCCTCATATATAGAGAATGAAGTTTTGAATGAAGAATGATGTTTTGAATAAAAGGAGTATTTTTGAGTAATAGTAATATCAAAAATAAATAAGCTGTATAAAATGCAATGATGTGTTTTTGCAGTGATGGAATATAATTGTTTGGACAGGAAATTCGGAATAAAAACATCTGCTAGAGAACTTACTTTCAGAGATAACATATCTTTAATGTTGCAATGGAAATTGTTTGAAAAGACATAGATAGATAGATAGATAGATAGATAGATAGATAGATAGATAGATAGATAGATAGATCCACTTGAGACAGAACAGACTGGAATAGATGGAACACACTGAAACAGACAGATAGATAGATAGATAGATAGATAGATAGATAGATAGATAGATAGATAGATAAAACCATTTGATAGATAGATAGATAGATAAAACCACTTGAGATAGATAGATAGATAGATAGAACCCCTTCAGATAGATAGAGAGATAGATAGAACAGACTGAGATAGATAGATAGATAGATAGATAGATAGATAGATAGATAGATAGTATAAACAAGCAAACAAGAACAACCCAAAATAGATAGATAGATAGATAGATAGATAGATAGATAGATAGATAGATAGATAGATAGATATGAACAGAGTGAGAGGAGCTATCTAGCTAGCTAGCTAGATAGATAGATATGATCTGCGAATTTTCTAGCTCACCGTCGGTCTACAGTAGAATCCCATATCTTTATTCACTTCAGTTAAGTCTGGCACAAGGCTATCAATGAGCATCCTCTGTGCATGAAACAATAATCTTCGAATTTGCTTGCTCTGCAGTAGGCAACCAGATTATTTAGTTTAGATAAGTCTTCCACAAGGCACACACGTAAGGAACACACAATATGGCCGCAGCTTACAGTGATCTGCGAACTTATTTTTTATTGTTCTACAGTAGGTACCCTGTCTTACGAACAAGTAAGAATAATCTGTAACCAGACCGTTGGCATTTGTGGGAGTGTTTTGGTCACACATCCAAGACGTGCGTGTGCGCCTCTGTGCAAGCGTGTGTAATCTGCAGGTGAATTTGTATGCCTGTTTGAGACCGAAAAGAGCGCCTGACGCCAACAACGTGTTCAAGCGGAAGTGAATCGCTTTAATTTTAGAAACATCAACTCCTCAAAAATGGCCGTTGTCATCTGAATACATGGTTAAGACCAAAATAAATATAGCAATAAAAAAAATGCAGGACAGGTGAGAAGAAACAAACAGGAAAAGCAAACTGTGATATGAGTAGAAGTGGGGTCTGGAATGCAAATGAATGGAAAGAAATTTAAAAAGGGAAAATAAAAAAGTCAAAAAGAAAAATAAAGAATCATGGTAAATAAAAAGTTTCAAGGAAATGTATGAAAAATAGTGTATGAGAAAAGGGAAAAAGAAGGGGAAAAAGCAGGAGAGCAAGACAAAGAAGGCGACAAAATAAAAGAGGAGTGGAAAGGGGGGCAGCAAAAAAGATGGATTGCAGGAAAAGATAGAAGTAGCAATGAAGAAGAAGGGGAGAAAAAAAGAAAGGGGAAGGAGCAAGACAAAGAAGGGAGGAAGAAAAAGCAGGAGAAAAAGAAAAGCAGGAGAGCAAGACAAAGAAGGGGAGAAAGAAAAGGAAGGGGAGCAAGACAAAGAAGGGAGGGAGAAAAGCAGGAGAGAAAGAAAAAGCAGGAGAGCAAGACAAAGAAGAGGAGAAAGAAAAGGAAGGGGAGCAAGACAAAGAAGGGGAGGGAGAAAAAGCAGGAGAGCAAGAAAAAGCAGGAGAGCAAGACAAAGAAGGGGAGAAAGAAAAGGAAGGGGAGCAAGGCAAAGAAGGGGAGGGAGAAAAAGAAGGGGAGAAAGAAAAGGAAGGGGAGCAAGACAAGGAAGGGGAGGAAGAAAAAGCAGGAGAGCAAGACAAAGAATAGAACAACAAAAGAGGAGTGGAAAAAGCAGGAAACAGGAAAAAAGATGGGTAGCAAGAAAAGATAGAAGTAGCAATGAAAAAGAAGGGGAGCAAGACAAAGAAGAGGAGCAAAAAAGAGGAGTGAGGAAAAACAGGAAACAGGAAAAATACTGGGAAAAGATAATAGGCAGCAGCTAAAGCTTGAAATAGCAGTAAAAAGAGGTGGGCATGAAAATGAAAAAGAGCGGTGGGGGAGAGGAGAAGGAGGAGTAAAAAAGAAGGGCAGCAATAAAAAGAGGGGGGTGAAAAGCAAGAAGATAATGGGGATTGAAAAAATGGATATCAGGAAAAGAGCAAGATAGCAATAAAAAGAAGAATAAGAAGAGAAAGAGAGGGGATCAGAATAAAGGGGAGTAATAATAAAAAAATCAAGAAAGGCAGAGGGACTGGAAAAGACAGGAAGCAAGAAAAAGAAGAAAAGCAGGAAAAAAAGAAGCCTCAGGAAAACAAGGGGCAAGAAAAGTGATAACGCCTGAAAAATTAGCGAAGTGGGAAAAGTGAATAGCAGGAAAATATAGACGGAAGAGGAAAAAGAGAGGTAACAGTAAAAAGAGGAGTAACAGTAAAAAAATGAGTAACAGTAAAAAAGGGGAGTAGCCGTAAAAAGAAGAGTAACAGTAAAAAGATGAGTAAACGTAAAAAAGGGGATTAGCAGTAAAACGAGGATTAGCAGTAAAAATATGGGTAACAGTAATAGGGGGAGTAGCAGTAAAAAGGGGAGTAGCAGTAAAAACGAGGATTAGCAGTAAAAACAAGGGTAGCAGTAATAGGGGGTAGCAGTAAAAAGGGGAGTAGCAGTAAAAACGGAATAGCAGTAAAAAGAGGAGTAACAGTAAAAAGATGAGTAACAATAAAAAAGTGGAGTAGCAGTAAAAACGAGGATTAGCAGTAAAAAGAAGGGTAACAGTAAAAGGGGGAGTAGCATTAAAAAGGGGAGTAGCAGTAAAAAGAGGCATAGGAGTAAAAAGAGAATTAGCAGTAAAAAGGGGAGTAGCAGTAAAAAGAGGAGTAACAGTAAAAAGAGGAGTAGCAGTAAAAGTAGGAAAAACAGTTATAGCGAAATAACAGTAAAAATAGGGGCAGCAGTAAAAAGGGGGAGTAGTAGTAAAAAGGGGGGTAGCAATAAAATGAGGAGTAACAATAAAAGTCGATTAGCAGTAAAAGAAGGAGTAGCAGTAAAAAGAGGATTGTATTTTTTTGCGAAATACAATCTTTGTTATTATATACATATAGATACATACTCAGTGGTCGATTATTACCCTTGGTTGAAAGGATCTAAATTCTTTCTCTTAAAACAGTTTTCAGGAAATCAGATTTCTGAAACCCACGAACCATTATCGCTATTTCTAGTATTGATAGAGGTTTCCTTCCTAACCTTTTGTTTAAGATAGTGTGGAAATCAACATGTTGATTATATCACTATTTTCTCTCCCATTTACACGTATTCTACATTGAAGTGTTGATTCTATTGAAAGTCTACAAGTGGTGTGTTTTTTTTCTTATTTCATAAAGTTCTTTGTTTCCTTACGTTTTTTAATGGTGGCCATAACATTATCTTCTCTCCTGTAAAATTTTACGCCAAAAGAATCCACTACCTTAGATCCATCAGAAGGAGCAATGTCATGCATAAATACATACTTCACTTTAAAACTGTGAGGCTGGGACTTGTACTATGCAAAGAAAGTCTTCATGAAATCGCAAATAGTTAGCATTGTTCAGTTTAACACCTTTATCGATGGTTCAGTAAAGGTTTGGTCAACAATTCCAGTCCATATCATCACACTGCTGCCTCCTTGCTGTCTTTTCTTAGTCACAGTCACATATGCATCGGATAAAATCCCTGCTTTGGCCGATCCATCAGATCCATCGAGTGTCACCCGAGATTTGTCTGTGAAAATTACTTTAGAAAAGTCAATCCTTATGTATATTTGGGCCCAATTTTGACGCTTTAAAATATTTGCTTTACTGAAAGCAGTTTACCCAGGAGATTTCTTGACAGATCCCAATTTACGAAGTATTCTACACCTTTTGTCTTTCGTAACTCCTTCAATTCCAGTCTATTCAAAGACCTGAGCACTGATCAAAAGTGGTTGTTTTGCTATAAGTTCTTAAAGTCTTTTCCTTTGCTTCTAGTTCTCAAATTATTTATATTTTTAACAACCCTGTTTATCATTTGATGATCGCTACGAAGCTCTTTTGAAATCTTCAATGTGGACCTCACTCAATAACTTTATCATTTTCAGTTTTTCAGCATTTTTTAGATCGTTTCCATTAACCTTGCTTCAGTTTATATTATGGAAAAAAAGAAAAAAATAGTTTTTATTAGATTACGGAGGCCTTAAACTAATATTAGTTTAATCTAACAACTTCAGATTGCAGTTTTTATAATAAATTCAATAAGTTTAATAAAACTACTTAAAAATTTACATCATTAGCAAATTGAAAAATAAAGCTTCTAAAATATTTTGATTTTTTTTACCTTTATTGCGTTTATGTAAAATCGAATTTTCGATTATTTTGACCTTTTTCAAGAACTAAAACAAATTAATGCCTTTTTTTTTCATTATTTTTAATAAAAGTACATCGGTTTATGACACAGGAACATAGGATTGTAAACAAATTATAACCCTAATATATATACCATATACGCCAGCTAGGTGTTTTCCATAAAAGTTGTCTGCGTGCAATCTGTGGAGTTAAGCGTCAAGATAGGACATCTAACGTAGACCTGTTTAACAGGTGTAATATTGGAGGAATCGAGACTTTTATCATACAGTCTCAGTTACGGTAGACTGGTCATGTCTTGAGAATGTCTGATGACAGGATACCCAAGATCCTAATGTACAGCCAGTTAGATCAGGGCTACAAGAATGTAGGACGCCCATGGCTGAGATACAAAGACAACCTGAAAAGCAATTTGTCAGCAGTTAATATACCACATAACACCCTTGAGCGCTTAGCCTTGGAGCAGGTAGAATGGGGATCAACGTGTTTTAGTGGACTCAGCAATTTTCAATCTGATTGCCTGAATCATCTTCAAGAAGCAAGAGCACGATCTAAAAGGTCAGCCAATCTAACAGTGATCTCATCACACAATCCTCACACTTGCTCCATATGTGCCCTCCTTTGTAAATCACTAGCGGGTTTTAAATGCCACTTAAGATTATCGCACAAATTTTCATAACTGAATCAATAAGCTGTCAGATCCTCATACGTCGAAACCGATGGGAGAGTCCATTATTTATATATATATATATATATATATATATATATATATATGTGTATGTATATAATTTTAGGATATTACAACAAATACATAAGAATCGCTACCCAATTGCAGTCGTGTTTCAACGCATTACAATGGGTCTCCTCGGGCGATTGTAAATTGCTCTACTCTGTATGAGCCCTCTTTTAAATTAAATGATACGAATGTTGGAAGTGTACACTATTCGTTCTCATTGTACCTATATATATATATATATATATATATATATATATATATATATATATATATATATATACACACAAGTATAGGATTGGTGCATACGGAATAAATTCCAATAACCAACAATTACTATTCTTAAAAGAGTGCTTAATACAGAGTAGAGCAGTTGATTTTATAACATATTTATGTTATAATTTTAAATAAATAATTATATATATATATATATATATATATATATATATATATATATATATATATATATATATATATATGTATATGGACAGCAAACCCTATTTTGAACAGGTTTCAGTGGAGTTGACTGAGATGCCATTGAGATTAAGTTTTATATTATTTTTCTTATATGCATACAAGAGATTTCTTAATTAAAATACCATTATTTGTCACATAAAATTAATTTATTAATTTTCTCTGATATATCGTTGTTCACAAAATTTATTTTATGAATAATTTGTGCTTTACTTTCTAAAAGCTATTTTAAAAGAATTATGCTGAACTTTAGTTTAGTAGTACCATTATAAAACAAAATAAAAACAGAAATAAAATAGAAGTAAATGAAATATTTTTATACTACAAACATAAATGAAAAATTATGTTCTTTAACTTTTCTCCCAAAAGTTCTGAAATTTAAACATTTTGAAAAAGGCCTTCAGTTCTATTCTTTAACTACACCATGAGTAGGTCTGTAGTATAGAACGCCATGGTCTCCATTGATGTTTACATGCAAATTAACAGTTGTTTTTTTCCCATTTAAAATAAAAAATTTTCGTCTCCTTTAGATTTTCTTATTCAAAGAAACAAAAAGATTTTTTTTCGCTTGGTGAACGTTACTTTCATCTCATACAAGGCTTCAATAGAAGAGATTTATTTGAGAATCAAAAGATTCATTTGAAAAGCAGAAAATTTAATTATTTGAGTAAAAAGCATTCATTAATTTTTAGAATAAAAGGTTAATTTATTTGCGAAACAAAATATTTATTTGTATAAACAGTTTGAAAGAAAGCAATGAAGATAATAATAATAATAATAATAATAATAATAAGGCAAATATCATACGTAATTGTGTGAATCCAAAATGCAGGTTCTGTGACAAATATCAGGAAATCATAGACCATCTAATCTCAGGATATTCTGTAATTATGCCAAATGAATATAAAAATCGTCAATCGTGAAGCAGTAGTGACACTGGACAATTTGCAAACATTTTGGAAAAGATGTTTGTTGTGGCCTTGTTGGGGCCAGAAATAAAGACACCAAAAGAGGAATTGAGTCAAACAAATATATTAACAGAAAAACAGTAACACAATCATATACAAACGAAAAAGAATATTAAGTCTGACTGTCAGAGCTGGAAACTGCACTCTCTAAAAAGCAGTACCTGCTCTTATTTATAACTGGGAGAGTCCATCTGTGCATGGGTAAATTACCATTAATAAACACTGGTAAGAACATCACCCAGCATCGGTTACAGAAAGAGAAGTCATCACAATTCTATTGGATTACACCATCTTCACAGAGAGGAAGATTGAAGTAAATAAGCTGGTCCGAATTGTGAAAAATCGAAAAGAAAAAAATGCCTACTAATTGATATGGCTTGCCAATTGGACTGTAATATAGTAACGAAGGAATTTGAATAAATTACTGAACTATAAAGACCTAGAAATTGAAATAGAAAAAGACATTGAAAACAAGAATAGTACAAGTTATAGTAGGTGCGCTTGGAATTATAAAAAAGGAACACAACAACAGATTGAAAAAAAAAATCCCTGGAAATTCCAGCTTAAGAGAAATACAAAAAAATGCCTTAGTAAGTACAGCACAAGTACATAAGTCACTAAGAATATTATGGGAATTAGAAAAACAAATCATGAAATGTCTATATTTCTGAGATGAGGTATTATGTACATTATTCGGACTATTGTCCTCATCTTTGTCGCCATATTTATCAGAACATTTGTTCTTCAGGTGGTTGGAATTTCCAATTGAACCCTTTATTTCACTCTGTTTTAGTTCCACATGCCATGTTTGATGGATGTCAGTTATCTCCTGCTAATTTCTCTCTGAAAGTTCTCCACTGCCTTAACCGGGTATTGAACTCACACTCTTTGGTGTCCTGTCACTGGATCTAACCAACGCCTTTATCCACTGTGCCATGTGTCCATCTGGGTATGAATTTCTGGGTATTATAAACCTAATGTCTTCAGCAACCATTTTTACCAGTGCTCAAAAACCCGAGAAATAGTGAGTTCTCAAAAATCCGAGGAATAGATAACCACTTGATTGAATGATGATAACCTTCTTCCCGGAAAGGCAAATATTTTTATAAAATATTTTAGCTAATAATGCAATCAATTAATATTGATTATGTATACATACATACATACATATATATATATATATATATTCAATAGAGTGGTTATCTAGCCATACATCCCCTGAAAATGGATATCGTTAAAGAATTTTATTTAATGGTCAAATCGTACACGTTGATGA